TATGGGTTAGTATAGAAAGCATTTGATTTGTTAAATTATTTAAAACTCTTGAATTGTAGCACTGTTTATTTGCAATTGCAACTGTCTCATTTAAACATGAAAAATCTTTATTTTTTGACAGTTTGCAAAGATGTTTCTCGGAAGATATAAATTTTGTGTCGGAAAAGAGTATTTTTAGGGTACAGTGGGTCCTTGCCCCATGTTTTTGTCAAACAAGGAATGTATATTTTTTAAAATATTTTGAAAATAAACTTTCTAAAAGAAATGGAGCGAGGATCCACTTACGTAAAAAAGATTGTGTTATAGTATGAAGAATTGTTCATTTTTGCTCTTTGCCTACATAATGCATATACATGTATAATTTTAAGAGCTGCGAGATTGTTGCAAGATTTGGAGATTTTTCAAAAAATATGCAGTATATTAGTGTTAACGGTAATATTAAAGAAAACTTTGTGAAAATTGATATTTAATTTTTTAAGTTCTTATTTGTCGAACCATTAGGCATTTTTCTCGGCTTTTTCACCCATCTGTTTATAATTTGTCAACGTGTTATCTTTTTCTGTTTTGGTTTAAAAAAAAAAGCAACAGATAGATCACTGCAAACTCTACATCTATATCCAAAAATGTCTTTAAAAAATCTCCAGCTAACCTGCATGAAGTAAGGAGTACAACTGAGCATTGTAAACGTATCACTTTCCTCTTAAAAAAAGATGAAGGGGGAAAAACGGGTACTGTATATACTCGCCTATAAGTCGGTTGTAATTTTTAGATTGTTTTGGAGTGATTTGCCATTAACCCGCATATAAGTCGGTTCAACTTTTTGCAAGAATTGGCTGACAGTTTTAAATCCCTGGTTTAAGTAATTTTTTTTTTTTTAGAAATGACGCCAATATTTAATTTTAAATCAATAAAAAATGAGTAATGCACCCTTAAAATAGAAATAAAATTATTGAAATATATGTAAATACTTGTAATTCATAATTTTAGAATACAAAAATGATATAATATATCCAGACTTTATTCAACGATAATCGTCGGACAAGTTTATAAAATACTACATGTTGCCCTTCAAAATAATGACTCGCCTATAAGTCGGACATAGAGTAAAAAAAATCCCCAAAACTGAACCCTGGAAGGTCCGATTTTCCTACGCATGGCGCACTCCAAAGTGAATTTGACTTCTTCCTTGTTTTGATTAATTCCCAAGGGCCAAAGAATCAAGTGTTAGATATAGTACAAGAAATAGTACTAGTATAATTGTGTTTGCCTGTTATGTACTTTGTTCCCCCTCCCCACTTTTCAAAGGATTTAAAAAGTTCATGCATTACATGAACTTTTTAAAGAAAAGCAATTATTTTAAACTTATATAAAATTATATATAATCAATGAAAAAGGTTAAGATAACGAACATTGATCGATCTCAAATAATCTACAAACAATACAAATCGGTGAACAGGGCATAAAACAGGGAAATTCCAGAAATGGGATCAGGTGCCTGGCAGGAGTAATCATCCCCTGTTGACCTGTCACACCCGCCGTGAGCCTTTTGTACACATTTTGATCAGGTAGACGGAAAATTCCGTCGTGTTCTATTTTTCAAATAGAGACCAGTTTGCACTAGAGAGCATCCCAATCAGTCGTACAATACCTGCCAAGGGTATTGAATTATTATTATACATTTGGACCCAGCACAGTCCATAGGGACAATTTATCAGGCATTTCCAGTCCAACGATGAAGTTTCCATTTATTGTCGTCTGTGATATTGGCTGTTGTAGATAAACGGTTTCTCCCTAAACGGTTTGTTTATCTAGAAATTGATAATCCAGGCCACAAAGTTGTTATATGACCCAATATCAAGACGTTATGTGAATAATTACGAGTTCATTACCAATTGGATTTTAACTGCTTCCCAATGCCCTTCCACCATACAGGTTTTTTTTTTTTCTAAAATACACTCATGCCTTGATAAAGAGATTTACATAATCCTGTTAAGGAGGTTGGATCCTGCCATCAAAAGTAATGAGAATTTTTTATCAAGTATATTTTTAGAATTTATACACATAGCTTAATTAAAAATCAAAACAAAAATGGGGGTCAGTGTGCGTCTTTTGGTGCTACAGATCATTTAGTTTGACCTTTTTGCACTGTAAATACGTCTTGCACATGAATCAATTTTTAAAAGTTTTTCCTCCAATATTTTTTATTCAAGTAAATTATGGGAACAAACAGTCTTATTTCTTCTTAAATAGACACATTAAAAATTTTGAAAACAAAAAATTTTTCAAATTACTTCGCATGTTCAATTATTGACTTTTTTGCACTCAAAAATGTCATTTTTCTGGCATTAAAAATTTAACAAGCTATAACATCATTTGAAAGTAATGACATTTTACTGATTTTAAGAAGAATGGTTATAAGTTTCCTATACATTCAGAAAAGAAAATTAAAATTAGGGGTCTGTGATGTTAATTTTTAGATATTACTAAAAGTGCTAATTTTAAGCTTAATATAGGTCTATTTTTTCTAGATTTTTATAATAGATTTGCTATAGTTATCAAATATGATGATAGAATTCATGACAGTTTGTTTGATATATATTTTAGGACCAGCATAAAACAGTTCACGGCACAGAATAACTCTGTGCAGGCTGCATGGAAAAATAGGAATCCAAACTTAACATACTTTAAATACTTCGAAAGAAAAAAAATGATCATTTTCTTCTACAACCCCCCCCCCCCCAAAAAAAATAGTTCCTCACTTAATGCATTTGGTATGAAATTTAACCATGGAGTTTTAACTGAATATAGTTTAATTGGCATTGTAGAATCCAAATTTATTGTAAGAACTAAAACATTATGCGGAATTTTTGAAATATAGGTTAAGACAAAAATCTGCTCAAAAGCTCAGGAGCGAACCTCGTTTACATACAGAAAAATCTGTTCTTGAAACTTATATTGACATTTGAAATTCCACCAATCGTGCGGATACACTCCCATTCTTTCTCAAAGAACCTATTGGTGAATTTCAAGATTTGTGCTTATATGTTCTTGCATTTTGCTGTACAGGCTTCCGATGTCACTATATAGAATAATCCCACTCATCAGTTACATTCAATGCTACCCAAAACTTGTCTGAACTTTTTATCTATTAACCTATATACAAGAAAGGGGAGAAACATCAACCATCAAACTACAGGCCTGTCTCCCTTACATCAATAGCCTGCAAGCTCCTGGAACATGTTGTACACAGCACAGTTATGGACCACTTTGATCGAAACAACATCCTCTGTGATGAGCAACATTGCTTCCGAGCCCGCCGATCATGTGAGACACAGCTTGTCATAACACTGGACCAGATAGCCAGGAATATGGACCAGGGGCAACAGACAGACATTATACTAGTGGACTTTTCAAAAGCTTTTGATAAAGTCCCTCACCAACATCTACTACTGAAGTTGGAGCACTACGGAGTGTCAGGTACCACCCTAGGCTGGATTAAGGACTTCCTAAGTTGTAGAACCCAATCAGTGGTTCTGGATGGTCATACATCTTCACCTCTGGATGTCCTTTCGGGAGTACCACAAGGAACTGTCCTGGGACCGCTCCTATTCCTGACCTACATTAACGACTTACCTGAGTGCACCAATTCAGACGCCAGAGTGTTTGCAGATGATTGCCTCATCTATCGTCAGATCCGAAATCAGAGAGATGCAGTCAAGTTACAGAAGATCTCACTGCCTTAGAGGGATGGGAAAAGAAGTGACAGATGTGCTTCCACCCCGAAAAGTGCACAGTTATTAGGATCTCCAACAAACGGCAGCCTCTGCAAACATCATACACCTTGCATGGACATCAGCTGGAAGTGATGGAGAGTGGGAAGTATCTTGGTGTTACCATCTCCCAAGACCTACAATGGACCAAACACATCTACACCAATATAGGGAAAGCTACAAGAGCCTTGGGCTTCCTGAAACGAAACATGGGTCATTGTACATCAACAGTTAAGGCAACAGCGTACTGTACTTTGATCAGACCATCCATCGAATATGCGTCATCAGTGTGGAATCCTTATCAGGCCAACTTAACAAAGGATTTGGAGCAGGTACAGCGTAGAGCAGCCAGGTTCGTCTTCAACCAGTACTCGGACACCTCCCCTGGGTCTATAACATCATTACTGGATCAACTAGAGTGGAACTCACTCCAACATAGGAGAACATTACATCGACTTATTCTGTGCTACAAAATCAGGAACCACCTTGTGGACATTAATCGAGACAAATATTACACACCTGGGGACAGAAGAACCAGAACTGTTTTTAAAAGAAGAAGCCTCCTGTTTTAACCAAGCCAGAGTTATTATCACTCTGAATAAGAGGTTAACTCCTTACTGGAAGAAGAAGAACCATGACCAAAGGCCGAGGCTTATCTAATTTTCGTGAATTACGCCAAATGCCTATTCATCTAACAAAAATTAAATGTGTTTATTTTTTTCATGAATAATGAAAAAATCGGCGATTTGAAGACTTTATGCAGATCTAGTAGTACTACAACCAATAAAATTGTCTGAATTCACAAAGTAATTCGATCAGAGCAATCTTGCATTATGCAACACCAAATTACATTAAACATTTCGAAATTACATGTGATCCCTAGTGCCCTTTATCATATTGACAATGACAGGATTATTTAGTTTAAAAGGGAGATCACAGGCATCAATTAGGATGAATTACAGACTTGCACCCTAAAATATTTCAATCAATTAACAAGGAAATCACCCTAGAGCGATGTGTTAATTAAAAACAGAGGCTGTGTTTGCGTGAAGGTTGATTAAGTTGTATAATAGATAGCCTATTTCTTGTGTGACGCACAATCACAATGCCTATTGGGAAAATTGACAAAACAAGAGTATATGACTTGTAGAATGATTAACAAACTCATTAAATATTAACACTGATTTTAAAAGCCAGCAACATATGGAAGTGATCAGACTATGATGACATTCAGGAGTACTTCAAAGATCAAAATCATTCTTTAGTTTTACTTATAGATATTGTATTTGGAAATGACATTTAGAAACTAATAGAACAATGCGCTGGATCGAAATCTGGTTTATGGTTTTGGGAATTGTTTATTCATCACAATGCATTGTGCTTGGTGCTGTTACTCCAAAGTTTTCGACTCTCCAACACCAAAAAACACTTCAAAACAAAATGTTAGATGGATATAAAAAGACCTTAAGGCCAATATCAGACCAAGACTTGCCACTGACTGTCAATATTTCTTTCAAATTTCACACAATACAAAATTACAATGAAGTTAGCGGTCTTTTTGCTTTCAATGGTGGACTTAATCTATCCTGGGTAGACGAGTCTATCCGTTGGAATCCGAATGAATATGGTAATGCAACAGTCACTAGACTTCCAATTGACGATATCTGGGTCCCCAACATCGGTGTTCGAAATCCGGCAGAAAGTGAGGAGTTCATGGAGATTGAGATAGCAGGATTTACTGTACCCGCTTCAAATCACGGATTAATGGATTTACAGAATTCAGGGATGATCAAAATCATGTGTGAACCGGATGTGACGTATTATCCCTTTGATATACATCACTGTTCATTGACCTTGGCTGTTCTCAACTATGAGAGTTATGAAGTTCAACTGCAACTCGCGAAACCAGCAGAGGCAATGCATACATTTACAGAGAATGGACAATGGAGCATATCCATTCTAGACACCATCGTGACTGACAAAACGATGGAAATCAAGCTGGAGATGAAAAGAAAATCCTCCTTCCTAATTGTCAACCTATTTTTACCGGTTCTTTTCCTTTTATCAATAAATATGCTCGTCTTTCTACTTCCGGTAAAATCAGGGGAGAGAATATCGTTCTCGATCACCAGTTTCTTGTCATTTGCCGTATTTATTACTATCCTAACTGAGAAGGTCCCGCAACAGTCAAACCCCCTTTCCATCCTCAGTATCATATTTGCATTTCAACTTGCAAACAGCACCATGATCTTAATTTGTAATGTCCTCGTAATAAATATATACCATAGGTCATATGACGTCTTGTCATCTTGCATTGTTGCTTTTGTGAGATTCATGGGACAAAAATCACATGGAAAAATGTCATCCTCTGCCATCACCATCAGAATAAAACCCGCTGAAGATTGTTGCAAATCGTGTGAAGAGGTTGTAGATGAAAAAGTCACGTGGAAAGAGGTTGCGTATGCCTTGGACAAACTGTTTTTATTAATTTTCCTTTGTTCCACCATGTTTCCCGTCATCGTTTTTATTTTCTATGTTACGTATAAAACATAGAATGCAGCGTTAACAAAAATATAAATGGGAATTCAACTATATGTACATTTGACTTGAATTGATTATTTTGTTTGTATTATAAAATGCAGTTAAGTAAACAGAAATGTTGGTAGTCCCGGTTGAAAATAAAGTTTCTCATTGTTGCTATGAAATATTTTTGTGTGTATAAAGTTTGTCATTGCTTAATTAATTGCAAAGATTTTGTTCCCAGATAAAATAAAATTTAAGATTCATTTGCATTGCATGATCGAAAAATATGGAATGAAGCCATTTACATGATACCTAACCAATAATGTTTACTCTGTTTAAAAAGGTGAGCTCTAGTATCTCTTGTCTTGCAGAAAGGCTTTCATAAAATAACTAAAAAAAATTATTAATTTTCAAAAATGTTGAAATTCGTCATGTATTTGATTACATGTATCAATACTCTGCAATATGCCAATTTGGTTGGTTTTGCTTCATATACATTTACTACTTTATTTGTATCCATGTTTAACATTTTAATTTACTACATAATGTTCTTTCCGCTAACGCGCCTCGAACCGTCTAATATCAGACATCATAGGCAGTTTGAGGCTTATAACCATTACATATAAGTTGGCACTAATGGACTTTCTTTCTTTAGTGCATTATTAAATTTTTAACTGAAATCAACTCTCAGTCCCAAAACGGTCAGCTATCTCATATTAAAAGCAAGTGCTACTGATATTAGATATGATAAAATTTAGATTGAACCTGATTCACTAATTTGTCGAATCGATATCCCAGTAAACTCAACAGAAAAGACACCAAGGGCCTGCTTCATTTTTGTCGTATTTGGATGTTTTACTGACTTTAGACGATAATGGCCAACTTATTTCTAAACTATATACCTGCATATGATGTTTATATTTTCCAACTAAATCGATACGCAAGAATATGCTCTGAGTACGATCAATGTTTAAACCGAGGCAAGCTACTGACAAATGATTGATGTTACAAATATTTCAACAACCTCGTTTAAAGTCAGCTTTTTGCAAATTCTAAGGTCGTTATAATGACCGTGTTTAAAGTCAGCTTTTTGCATATTCTACGGTCGTTATAGTCGCCCGCATTGCGCTGTGGTTAGAGCGTTTGCTCTAGAGTTGAGGCGTAAGGAGTTGATCCTTACATCGCGGGTTCGAATTCATTGTAAGACCGATTCTTCGGATGAGGCCTATAAACAGCAGTAGGTGCTGTCACAAAAAAGATCCATCATTGTTTAAAGGTTGTTATTGCCGAGTACAAGTCTAAATTTGCAGCCCTCCGGGCAAGTAGCGGTATCTCGGTATCAGTAACAAATTCTCGAAGGGACGTTAAACAACTAAACAAACATACAAACGGTCTATACAATGACCGTGTTTGCAAATACAGCCTATCGTTAGGTCATATTTTGTCTGACATGTTGCATACCAATTGTAACTTCAATGTCATTGTTTTCATGTTAAGTCATTGCTTTTAAACTCAATTTGACTACGAATTACTACCTGATCAATAAATAGGGCCCAGGGTAGGTGTGACCGGTTGAGGTATCCTTACTCCTCCTAGGCACCTGATCCCACCTCTGGTGTTTTTAAAAATCCGTGATTTTGCCTTATTCACGATTTGTTTTCTTTACTGGATTTATCAGATCGATCACTGTTCGTTATCTTCACCATTTACATTGATAAGACGGCATTAACTACTTACCTTCTAGAGCGGTAGGACGACAAGAAGCATGTACCGTGTTGTGACTGTGCTAGTGTTTCTATTTGGTTTGTCTTCAGGTACAATGTATACTTTTGTAATATTGTAAAATGTATTTCAAGACTTTTATTCTGTTATAAAAAGATTGTGTATAATGTATTTCAAGACTTTTATTCTGTTATAAAAAGATTGTGTATAATGACACGCACATTGTCATATTCTTTATTTTAAGGATGTTGTTTTTTTTTTGTACAAAATTGAAATCAAAATACATGTACCTTAGACTAGATCTAAAATCATAATAAATATAATTTTCAACGTTTTCTGCAGAATAAGGGATTCTTTGTGGTTAGTTAAATGTATATATTTGTTTATATCTAGAAAAATAAAACAAAGTCAAAGAGTCAGAGCTATTTCATTTAGATTTATCATATATGTAGAAGAATATTCCAATTATAGGACCAACGAAATGTACATATGTATTGATATTGAAATGAGAGCTAATTCGTAACCTTACAAAGGGTTTATATACGTTATCAACTGAAATCTAAAATTTAAGACAGACCAACATTGGATAAAAGCGCCTTTTAAAACTGCTAAAAGATTCAGTGTACAAAATAGAATTGTGAAACATTTTCCATCTTTCTTTTAATAAAGCTTTTAAACACAAATGGTAATCTATTATCACACAGGTGCAATAAACAACATAGAATGCACGCACGGCCATCACCGTCATCATGCCCGGGGAACGGGGTACTACCCAGCCGACGATCCCATTGAAGGGGGATTTGTGGATATGCGTGATCACAAGTTACAAACACTACAGGTATTTAAACGCAGGTATTTAAACAGTCATAAAAAGACTCACACAAATAATAGTTGTTCATATATATATATATATATATATATATATATATATATATATATATATATATATATATATATATATATATATATATATATATATATATATATATAAAGAATTTAGTGTAAATCTGCAACAAGATAATTATCTTCTAAGCGTCTAATTTGCTTATGTAAGGATTATCTTGAGGGACGAGTTCATCATGTGAGTGTTGCTATGGATAACCATGCCGGAATTCCCTATGGAACCCATGTTTGTATTCCAGAATTGAACCGGAAGTACCACAGATTCATTGACTTCATTGTATGTACAATTCAACTTAGTTTGAAAATACATAAGCAGCATGACAATGTCACTAACGTTCTATTTACTACCAATTAATGACATTGATCCTACCTCTTATGTCTTAGAGGTCCGTGTTTGCTCTGCTCTTATTTTGTAATGTTTAATGGACTTTTGAGCTCGAATAGTGTTCGTTATCTCCACCCACATATTTCATTCATAATGTAACTTTGCTTTTTTCATTCTGTGTCGAGAAAAAATATCAAATTCCCTTTTCCCTTTGAGGCTTAGTTGTATATCGGTAATAATACTTTGAATGTTCAGGCTTGAGGCTTTGCAAATATCAAATTGAAGATCCAGGCCACCAAAATGTCTTTGTTCATGTCATGCTAAACTGATGCTTCATTGATTGATTTTACATTACCGAAGTTTATCACGAAAGTATACAACTCCGTTTATCAATTTTTATTTCAAAATCTGAATAATTATTCTTCTTTCCTTGTATATTTCTTTTAATTTTCAAACAAAACTCAATATTCAAAACAGTGTCCTAATGTATAATTATTTTGCATTTTAAAAATAACGAATTATTTTTTCTTTAGGTTGTGGACACAGGTCCTGCTTTTTATGGCAAGGGATACAGCAGAATTGATATATGTTGTCGCACGGAACACGATACCTTTGATGACACCATTAATGGACCTCTTACTCTTGTATTTCATTAAATAAACATGATATTGAAAGAAGCTGTTAACCCTTATAAAAAAAAAAAAATAGTTCCAGTGGTACCGTAATGGAATTCAGTGCACAAATCACCGCCGGGCTAAACAGACTTTTGAAAGCTCATATCACCCTGCAGTTGTTTAATTGACATTTTCCCCATGGCCTACCCTTGGTTGAATTGAGATTTTAACTCTCACTCAACAACATAGAAAGCAGGGATTGTACATATAATTGTGTATTTGACTTCAGGCTTGAAGTCTTTAATCTTTTTTATATAAATAGCATAAAGACTTTTATATAATTTTCAATCTTTAAACCTTGATACATGCTGAATCGTAAGTTATAAGCTTAAATTTCTTTCAAAAATTTAATGATTCTCCTAGCAGAGTCTGTTACAGTCGTCGCTTAAATCTACAATTTGGTATCTTGGATGTTATAGCGACAAAGTGAAACATTTTGCACAGAGCTCAGTTTTACGGGAGCTTCTACCAGAATCAATTTGATGAACCTTTGTTGGTTAGTTTAGAATGCATTTGATTCGTTAAATTATGTAGATTTAAAACCCTTTGCTGAGGCATTTTATATTTGCGACTGGTATTAAAATGATTAAAAGTAAGTTTTTTATTATAACGGTTTTCTGTAGTCTATTACATTGTAAACATATTACTTTCTTTAAATGGGTAAAAACAAAACGAAATACTGGTAAAATATCAATTCTCCGATGCATAGCATATTTCAAAGTCATTTTAAATTCTTCGATCGTTTTGATTAAATCACAATGGTCAAGTTAAAGATACATATGCTCAAAAAACCTTGTCGTATTACTCTATAATTATGTACGTACAGTATCCTTTTTTATAGCTTGGGTTAGTATTCTTGATGCATTTCAGTGCAAATGTTCCTTAAGGAGGTTCGATCCTGAGCTTTTGAGCAGATTTTGGTCTGGACCTTTATTTCAAAAATTCTGCATCATTTTTAAGTTCTAACATTAAATCTGGATTCTACAATGTAAATAAAACTATATCCAATGAAAAAAACCGCAATTAAATTCCATCCAAATAGGATTAAGCCAGGAACTATATTTTGTGGCGGAAGGTTTTTTTAAAGAAGAAAATGATCAATTTTCCCTTTTGAAATATATACAGCACTGTTAAGTCTAGATTCCTATTTTTCCATGCTGGTTGCACACAGAACTTTTTTTGCAGTGAAATGTTTTATACTGGTTCTGAATTATCTATTAAATTATTTTCTATGAATTCTTTCATTATATTGTGACAAATATAGTAAATATATTCTGAAAGTCCAGGAAAAAATTTAGCCAATTTTAACTTAAAATTAACACTTTTTTTTAGTAATATCTAAAAATTTACATCATAGTCCCCCTTTTTTGTTTTTCTTTCCTGAACATATAAGATAACTTTGATCAATCTGCTTAAATTCAGCAAAAGTTTAAGACTTTAAAATAATTTTCTTGCTTGTTAAATTTTTAAAGCCAGAAAAATCACATTTTGTGAGTGCAGAAAGGTCAAATAATTGATTATGCGAAGCAATTTGAAACTTTTTCTTAGTCACATTTTTATGTGTCTTTTTTTAAATAGACTTAAAGTTTATTTTGTCCCATGATTTATTTGGATAAAAATATTGGAGGGAAAACATCGAAGGTGTGATTTTTGATTAAGACACAAATTTCAGTGCAAAAAATGTCATATTAAATGTGCTGTAGCGCCAAAAGAAGAATATTGATTCCCATTTTTTGTTTTGATTTTTAATTAAGCTATGTGTGAAGAAACTAAAAATATACTTGACAAAAAAAGTTTAAGACTTAAGATATCATAATCAAACCTTGTTAAATATTTTTGCACGCCATTTTAAAATAAATAATAAAAGAAGTGATTTCATATTTATCAAATACTACCTTGCAGGTGTATAATCAAAGAAGGTTTAATTCTTAATCATTATATTCATGTTTTTAACTTTTTATTGAGATTATATTGCACTAAAGTAGCATCTCACTCGTTTAAACAATTCCTGTAAAAAGGCTTCAATTATCATAATACAATATATCAGGCATTTCCAATCCAAAAATGATGTCTCCATTTATTACAAAATAATTGAAAATAGATGTTAGATCGCACTCTCAAAGTATCTGTTGTTACGTTTCAAGATCTACAAATATGTACAATGTGTACAATGTATATTCAAGTATGTAGTTATATATATAAAATTATCCGATGCCAATATACATGTATAAAATAAAAATTCACTCAGTTCAACATGCTACCTGAAACTTTCCTAGAGCTTATTTTGATTGGCCAAGGCTAAAATAATTTTCCTGAGTAACAAAAATGCATCTGATGAAAATATACATACATGTATATATACATGTATTAAATGTTATTCTTCATTAATAATGAACAAAAAGCTGGTATCCAGACCTTATGCAAATGTAATGAAATATTAGACCTAACAATAAAAAAAAAGATCTCGGAATTAACGTAGTAGTCAAATGTAATCTTTAACATACAACAAAATATCAGCATTTCAGAATGTCAAGTTATTCCTAGTGCTTTTTTTTTTGAAATCATCAATCATTGACACGACAGGGATATTTATATTATGACGGAGATCATATTGTTTGTGGGTAGATTTCTGTCATCGGTTATTAATAAATTACAGACTTAAACATTAAAATAATGAATTAATCATGAAATCATCCTCAAGTAATGCGTTAATTGAAAGCAGGTCGATGCTAGTTGTGTGGAGGTTGGTCCTGTATGTATAAATATGTAGCCTTCAATTTATTGCTTGACGCACAATCACAGTTCAATGCTTATTGGAATATTTTACGAAACATGAGTGAAAAATTCTCAGGAGGGACGTTAAACAACAAACAAACAAACGAAACACGAGATTTATCACATGACGATTAACAAAATCATAGAATATTAACGCAATGATTTTAAAGCCTGCATCATTTGAAACTTCTCGCTATCTGAAATTGTAACTTGTATTAGAGAAGTGCAAAACAATAAGGAGATTTTAATTTCTTATCTTTTTCTATTTTTTGTGAATGTATATTGGCGTTTTGGAATATACATGTGGTTATTTACACTGCAATAAAGAGTTTGGGGAATTCAGAGAATAATTTTTTGTCTGTCAAAATTGATCAACCGCTGATCTCTCCCTCGTTCGCTCTCTGTCTCTCTCTGAAGAGTGTGAACTGTCAGAATCCATGCTTGTGACGTTCCACATTGTAACTAATTCACAAACATTCTATTTTAGCTAAGAAAATGTTTGTGAAGTAGTTACAATAATAAGGTTTCTTATCGTCCTCTAACTCACCAAAAATTTCTCAATCTTTTAAAATACTTTTCTTTCTCTCATTTTCAAGTGAACTTACAATTCCATTATTTTGTACAATACTTTACCAATAGTGAATATATTTATAACCTATGATTAAGTATCGCAACCAAAGAATTTTGCATATATTCCGTGATCAGAATTTTTTTAAGGATCAAATTTCAATAAATTTGTGGATTTTTTTATTTTCAAGATAAAATTTATGCATGTATACTGGCATCCCAAATACCCACGGATGATCTCGTTCTTTACTCATCACCCGTGGGCAAACTCGCCGAAATATGCTAATTTGTTGATTATAGACAACCAATTAGAAAGTTGGAACTCTTCAATTTTGAAAATACCTTTATTAGTTTGCTATTTATACAAAATATCTTGACGCCCGTTAAAACGTCTAAATTTTGTTTTGAAACGATTAAAGATTAGTCGTACAGGTCACATACATCAAATACCACTCAGAAATTATATGGGAGTATCTTTCTCAAACTGTTAAATGCACTGGTAAGTGGATTTATTTGCAATCCGTATTTTAACTATGTTAAAGTTTTTGTCATTGCCGAACATATGTAAAATAGATAAACTTTTATTCACTGATTTGCCATCGCGACTCTGTGCAGCAGTCAATCAAATGACCCGCGCATATTAATTACAAACGAGTTTTTGGCGAGTTTGCCCACGAGTAAAAGACGAGATCACCCGTGGGTATCGGACGATGGTATACAGCATAATGCTTACATTGTTGTTGTGTATTTGATGATTGCTGTAAAGTGTGGACTCTCTACTGAGTCCGCTGTATTTTTTATCAAAATGTTTACTTAATTCGTTTGCCTGACAGTTTGTGCATTTTTTCTCTGCTAATTGCTACTTGTTAGATTTCTGTGTTTCCCATTCGTCTCCTCTGGATGGGGCATTATCTATAACTTGTTAATTATTGAAAAGTTTGTGGCGTGTTTTGAAAGAATTTTCCCATTTTTATTTTGCCATTTTTTTCCCATTCATATCTGTATCTTTTCATTATGTATATTAATATCCTAATAAGGGATATATTAAACTTTTGTACGTATTTGGTTAATTTGTTTGGTATTATAATAAATGCCCATTTACGACAATTAGTTTTATTTTATATTTTGCAAAAAACAAAGCAGAGTGGACCCATGGATGGAGATTATAAATTATATTGAAGAAAGTCAAAGACGATGGCAAAATTGTATTTATGTTCAACATAAAGTAATTTTTTTAAACTAACTTATTGTATTTTAGACTTATTTCTTTGTGGTAATTACTTTAAATCTGGAAATACTGTGATCTTAATTCTCGGGTAGAGAAGAAGATTCATCGGTGCAGAATAAATTGACGTGTAGAAATATACTCCAGCTCCTAATTCCGACAGGCATTATAAACACCCCAAGTGTTCTAATAGTATTTCAGTGCAATCACAATTGTATAACCTTCACTGATTTGTTCTTCCTATTAACTTGAACATGGCATGGATTTAGTATTAAATTCTAATCGGTGCAAACAAGGAAACTATCGAAGGCATAAATGGGGAGTCTTTTATCTCTCATCTCCAACAGGCAAGGATTTTACGGAAGCACCCAATGACAAGAGAGTTGATAAGACTTTAAGTAACAGGATTATTTTGAAGTACCCAGATTACAAGTTGTTTTCAGAGAACGATGTTTACTTTCATTTCGCAACAGCTCTTTGGGTTTTTTTTTATATGTAAATAGATGTATAACAAATCAAATGGAAATTAAAATCT